ATGGTTTGTTAGTTTTCTAACAAAGGTTTGATTATTATATCTATTAGCCATTAAAATGATCTGATAAACAAAAACTACGTCAAGAGTCTTTACCAAAAGCACATTCTTCATCGTTTAATGACTGATTGAATATGGTTTTTTAGAGTATTTCAGACACTTTATTGACTTGTTTGTGTCCCTTACATAAGCTCGAGTATCAGTGTTTAAATTCAGGCTGCAGTAATCATGTATTTTCTTATTTTGGTGATGAATCGTAAAAGAAATAATGCATGCACAGCATTTTGTTTTATTAAATCACTTTGCTTCATTAAAAGAGCAATGGTAATGTACAAGAGACAAAATAAAACATGGCTCTAAATTTACAATGAATTGTTTCCCTTTAAGATTTAAGTATTTCTTGCCTTTTACTTACACATTATTGTCGTGTTTTAATGATGCTTATCTCAGAGTTCGCATTTGTTTTTGCCTTTACTGCTGTAACAACTAATAATGGATTATCTTATCTTGTTTTATTCCTGGGTCTAAATAAATATAATACTTTAAGTTCACTAGACTGGCTAATGTACATGATGAAGCGATGCCCCCCACCTGCTGACCCTACTCGCTGCAATCAAAATACGAAACAGCTAATATGGACACATAATCATCACACTGGTTTTTAACCAGCCATTAAATATAGCCGTTGTTAACATGTGGTCTTTACTAGCCTTCATTTGAACTAGAACACACATTCATTTAGTATTCATGAATGATACCTTGTTGTGTTAATAGGTTGGATTGACTTTCTTTTGAGGTGTTGCAGCATTGATAAAGTGCTGTTGTGGTAGGCTACGACACAATGCGCTATAGTTTCCTTTCATTTCAACTTCCTTACTCACCACTGCTCCTTGTATGCTCGGGTTGGTTGGTCTGCCTTGTCTGCACGTAGACTAAACCACTGGAATATTTTTATTTATAAATGTGTTCTCGGTCTGCTTCCATCCTACCTACAGAGCTACATACTTCAAAAAAGTAATGGAAGTTATCATCTTCGCTCACAGGATTTACACCTTCTCACCATCCCTGAAGCCCGTACTGAATTAGGAAAAAGGGAGGTTCAAGTGTGCTGCTCCCTCTTCTTAGAATCGGTTGCAAGATACTTGAAATCTTCAGGAGCTGGTTTCCTTGAATGTTTTTAAAGGTCGTCTTAGTGATCTGGAGGCAGAAATATCTGACTGTAGATGTTTTAACTAAGTTGTATTGCCCTTTTTGATCGCTTTGTTGCTGATGACTTATGACAGATTCTGATGAATGGTTCTTTTTGTGATTCCTGTATCTATGTTCATTGTTGTTAAGTGTTTTATGTCTGAAACCCTGTAATTGTTCTGCTGCCTGTCTTGGCCAGGATGCTCTTGTCAAAGAGATTTTTAATCTCAGTGAGACTTTTTCCTGGTTAAATTCAGGTTAAATAAAATAAAATAAAATAAAATAAATAGTGATCCAACACAAGACATGTTCTGTTGTTTCTGCTGGGGTGTTCATTCTCTTTTACTTCTCGCCTTTTTTTTTCTTTCGCAAAAGCAGTGCCCTGTATAGTTGATTTAAACAAAGCCTAGAGGCAGGTCATTTGCCTTGAGGCTTTTCAGTAATCAAGTTAGTTATTTGAGCAATCATTTCAGCCCTAGTTTAAATAATATTAATTCATTCAACCTTTATTTATACTCAAAAGATCATTGAGGGGTAACCCTCATTTACAATGACATCGAGTCATTACAGAAATAATTAGAAAACAGACATTAGATAGAAAATAGAAAAACAGGAGACAGATAATACAAGTCTGCTAAAATCAGTCTAAAAAAGGCTAAAATGTACTAAGATAATGAAGCGAGTACAAAGCTGCAATAAATAAAGACACTTATGTAAAACAGTTACAAACAGAGGTTGGGAGGTTTAAAATCAGGTTTCTAAAATGTCCAAAATGTAAAAGTTAATTTCCCTAAAGAAGATGCTGTATGTTGTTCCAAGAGTCCGGTGCAAAATAAGAAAAAGCAGATTTTCCCAGTTCCGATCTGACTCGAGGAACATTTAACAGTAAACGTCTTGAGGAAGGTGTCTGGTAATGCCCAGTCGAGAGATGTACGAGTTCTGTCAGGTATGAGGGTCATTTTTCTGTGAGAGCTTTATAAATAAAAAGACTGTTTTGAAAATATCAAAACAGATAAACCAACCCGAGCCACAGCAGCAGCAGTCACACTGGCTGAGAAACAAAGCTGTTTGAAGAAAGTCTAATTGTGCAATTTTGATACCAAGAGAAGGGAGGGTTGAGTTTGGGTCAGTGGGGGCTGTCCTGGATTCAGACCTTGTGCTCAGGAAAAAAAGCCAAAACTTGACTTCACTTCTGTGTCAACAGTGACCCACAGGAGTCACTCACCACATCACACTGCTGCCTCAAAGACCGTGGACACCTTCAGATGTTAGTCCTAACATGTTTGCAGAAATCTATGGTGCAAAGAGACACATCTATTCTGTCCCTTAACATGTCTATACATGCAGCACTAGAGTGGTTTGCTTGTGTGAGCGTTCGACAGTCTCCATGTCAGAGGGACAGCTTTCTGAAATTTCTTTCAAACAACTTGTGAATGAGGTTTCACATGCATGAGGGACGCTCGGCCGACAAAAGAGCGACGTAAACACTGAGCTCAGCTCTGAACTTGACACTCTCCAGAACTGGATCTGTGAGTGCTTTTTTTTATCCCTGTGATGTCAGCAATAAAAGAGAACAGAAAATATCTGTTGGAGAGAGATAGAGGGGAGAGAACACAGGGTGGAAAGGGGAAGATGGATGTTAAAAAAAAGGGTGCTGTGAGAGTCAGAGAGAGGAAGTGACACAGCTGGATGGAGGGGAAAGGTAAGGACAGAGCAGTGGTGCCATTGTTCAGACAGAGGAAGGTGAGAGTGGGTCTCTCTGATGTCCACATTCAGTCCCTGCTGCTGCTGCCGTAACTTCCTCCTCCTCCTCCTCCTCCTCCTCATCCTCCCACGCCTCCTCCCACCAGCTCGATTCACACTCACACTTTGATGAAATAAACACACGCACAGGAGGGGATGAGTTAGCCACAGCTTCTGCAGCTCCCCTGGTGAAAAACTGATTTTGAGGTGTGTGTGTTTGTGTGTGTGTGTGTGTGTGTGTGTGTGTGTTTGTGTGTGCGTTTTATCTGTAGAGTGGACATCAATGGCATATTGAACAGCAAAGGCACAGCACAGCCTAGTGGTAGGAGGAAACAGCCTGAGGAAGTGGGAAATATCAGCTCAGGTAAAGTTAATTCATTCCATTAATATGACCCTGTGCGTCTTTTTTTGTTTGGGGGGGGGTCTATAAATCTGCCTCTGGTCACGTTAATCTGTATATTATAATCTGAAGAATATATTTGTATATATATATATATGTGCTATGTACATATGTATGTACATAGCACAGATTCTTGCCCTTTCTGCTTATTGCACTTCTGGTGAGATGCCAAACCTCATTTCATTACTTGTATATGTGTAATGACAATAAAGTTGAATCTCATCTCGTAAATTATTCACTTGACTTACACTACGGGAATCTGTGTAGGCAGAATAGACCTACTTAAGAGCTGCTGAAAGTTTCCACCTATAGGGGGGGCCTTATATATCTGGAGATTTTTTATCTGGCTGCTTCTAACAGGAGAAGACAATCAATCACCCAATCAATCCACACACTTCACACGTTCCAAACAGTAAGAGACTGTGTCAGACACGCTCTCACAACTGAAGTTGAACCTCAGCTCAACATGATGACATCACCAACCTTGCCACTTGCTTGTGGTGAACGATGTGGGATCAGTGGTTTCCAAACCCTTTACTTGGAGCCCCCCCCTTACTTGTAGAAAAGCTGAGCCCCCCCCCGGGAGTCACAACAAAAAGTGATAAATTGTTGTTCATTTTACCATCAATTCTAATTACTTTCATTGAAAAAATCCCAACAGAATAGTCCCACACACAAGTTCTTACCAAAAGACCAATTTCTAAACTATCCAGTAATTATCATGTGACCATGACGTCACATGACACCCTATTTAAGCACCTGTCTCATCTTTATCAATTATGTCCTGACGAAGACTCAGTAGTCGAAACGCGTTGACAGTCCCTGTTAAATAAAGGATTTTTAAATGCTATCAGAGTGCCTCGGACTTTCAGTTTGAGACTGCCTCTTCACACTTTTTCTCTTCTAATCAGGACAGTCAAACTTTTTTATTAACTATTCCACTCTTGTCCCCTGTTCCTGAAGAGCACCTGTTTTTTTCTATATTTATTTTGTTTTTGACCCAGTGCAGCACTCCCTTCTATGTTTTTTCCCTATATCCAGTAATTATGTTATCATTTCAGTTAATATGTGAAGATCTAAATACCCCCCCCCCCCACACACAGAGATGTTTGGGAAGGTTGGGAATCAAGGATCTAGACTAATATCTGTTGGATTCAGACATCAGCTCAACCTAACTACTAAGGGTCTGACAGGAAAAGTATGCATTTGAAATAAACACAAGTAAGTGGAGTGTGAACAAATTCAGCCATTTGCGTTCACACACACACACCCCTCCCGCATCATGTCAGGAATGCAGTACATACAGTATAAGTGAAACAGACTCAGTCACACTTTTGGGGCAAATTAAAGTAAACAAATGAAAGCTCACAAAATGACTGTGAGAGAACCTGGAGCAAAAATCTTCACTTGTCACACAGCAGCTTTGTGGAACCAGTCACTGGGAATAAGTGTTGGATAATTGTCTAACACTTTTTCTGCATTGCTACAAGAATAAAAAAAGAAGAATCCCTAAAAAACAGAACATCCTTTATTTAGCTGCATACATTGCCCCCCCCCTCTTTTTAACAAGTCTCTCAGGCATGATGCTGCTAAGTGAAACACACTGCTTCAATCAGCCTCACTGCTGATCACTGCATCTCTTTCTCAGCTCATTGTGTGTGTGTGTGTGTACCTGTCTGATAGGCTCAGGGACCCGGTAACGGCAGCAGGAGTGTGTGAGGCGTACGGCTGTGTCCAAACAGATCTTGTGGCCGACTGACACGTACACTGGCTTAGAGCTCTTGTTGGAGCTTCGGAGTGCCTGAGTACAAAGAGAAATAAATTTGAAGTCACTTTTCCAGCATTCTGTCTCTCTGCGTCTGTTCTCCACATTCAGTTGAATTTGACTTTCAGCAGGTTGGGTGTTCTTTGAAGGTAACGGCAACAAAAACAACACGTGTTAAAGCATTTGCTTCTTTTTGGGTGTGTGTGCACATGTGTGTGTGTGTCTGTCCTTTGCCGCACCTTTCCAAGCACTTTGCCTGAGGCGGCTGTGAGTGGGAAGCTGTCTCCTCCTTTCTGCAGAGCAGCTATCTGTGAAGGCAACCAAACAAAAATCAAAGTCAAAGCAAGCAAGTATAAAGCAAGCAAATACAAAAGAGGCAACCTGACAACTATTAACCCTTTGTGCCGATTCAATCTTGTGTTTTTAATCTTGGTGTGCCTTCACTTTCACATCTCAACATATTTAGAACTCTGGTACATTGAATGAATATTGACTTTAGATTATAATATTGGCAAAAAAAGTTCAGTACAGACAATAAATCAGAAGTTTAATACCAGCATTTGTTGCCTTAATATATTTGTTTTTTTAGAAAATAAATATTGTTTGGCAAACTAAGAAAAACATTTGAATGTTTCACATTGTCTCGTGTGACCACAGGGCTCCACAGGGGACAGAAAGGACAAGTGTCTGAACAGTTTAGATGTTGCAAAGTGATATTAAATGTCAAGGAGTCAGGTTACATTTTCTGATATCGATCAGAAACTGTGACCTTCAGTCTGTCGTGCTTTGGATGACCCCTCAAGACTTTTTTTGTGTGACATTCACTCTGTCCAGCAGAAAGTATCTGGAAATTAAAATCTAAATATTGCCAGGTATTACGTCTTTCCCAAACCGCTTTGAAAGAATGAGTGAGGTTAATAACATCTAACCTCTCTTGTACAAAAGAGAATCCATGCAGCAGCACCTTCTGTGGTCACACTTTAGTCACAGTATAAGCATCCCAGATCGCTCAATCATATGTCTGTTCTTCTCCAAGGATCTTCTATGAGTAAGGATCATCAACTCAAACAGAGGGATGCATCTTCTCACTAGCAGACTGCACCTCATCCATGTCCCGAGTCTCTTTCTTTCATATCACATTCTTGTATGAGACAGGTATTTGATCCATATTTAGTAATAAAAATTAAAAAAATGGAGAAAAATGGAGAAAAGACACTGATCATGATATGGGCAAAACAAACTTAACCGGGGCATCTTTAGGATATGAAATGTATTTAATGAAGGAACACGTGTTCCATGTTTCCTGGGAACAAGAAGATACCTAATCAACACTACCACTTGTTAGCTTTTGTCATAGCTGGCATTAAGGACATTTAATTCATAGGCAATATAATTAATAATTATATTAAAAATATAATTATATAAAGTTATAATTAACAAAAACTTACCATGTATTTTAACACTCCTGAAGTAAACCATGTCCAGTGACATCATTATCATTAAGTCTGTGTGAGATTCCTATATTTTAGTATTCAAAACGTCATTCAAAGAAAATGTAAGTAATATAATATATAATGTCAGTGTAAAGTAAAGGCTTTTTATGCCTTCATTTAGAGATAGGACAGTGGATAGAGTTGGAAATCAAGAAGAAAGTGGGGAATGACATGCGGGGGGAGCCACAGGTCGGATTCAAACCTGGGCCGCCCGCTTGCTGGACTGCAGCCTATACACACATTTGCTGCGCGGACTAACCACTAGGCCACTTTTTAATTTAATCAAACCTCTACCTCAGACATGTGTTTGATTAGTGACTGATGAGTTCAAGGTAACTAAGGTTAAAAAAAAAGTATTTTTTTTGAAGTTTGTTTTGATCTCAGTGAGAGAGACGCTGCAAAGTCAGATGTAGTGACGTGAGCGGCTGTTGACAGGCGTGCTGTGGGTTACAGGCCAGAGCGATGAAGGACGCTTAGCCGCCATGATGGATGGGGTGTCTGCTCTACTATGACTGATTACAGCAAGCAGCCAGCGGGGAGACAGGAGGGGCCGCACAGGGCCTCCGATCCCGACTGGGATGAGGCCAACAGTGTGTGTGTGTGTGTGTGTGTGTGTGTGTGTGTGTGTGTGTGTGTGTGTGTGTGTGTGTGTGTGTGTGTGTGTGTGTGTGTGTGTGTGTGTGTGTGTGTGTGTGTGTGTGTGTGTGTGAGAGAGAGTTTGGCAGGAGTATAGGACAGAAGCCAGAACAGCAGAAGTCAGAAAAAACAAGCACGTCATCAATAACACATACTTTGAGTTACAGCCCAGCTATCAGGAACGGGGACAAAGACGGACAAAAGGAAAAAAAAAACAGAAAATATGAGATACGATGGGGAGAAAAGAAAGTGAAAAGGGGAGAGTGAGAAATGGAAGGATAAAGATGGTAGGCACAGACCAAACAGAGGCAGGACAAGCAAGGACGATGAGCAGCTTCAGCAAGTCAATCATTTTCCCCAAAAGAGCATGAAGGACAAAGAGCGAGAGAAGGAACGATCTTTCACCTCTTTCAACCTCTTTTTGTTTTGTCTCAGGCTCTTGTGTTTTAAAAACATACAGTTTCTCCCATGCCTTTAGTCAAGAACAAACACCTTACATTTCAATCTTCTGGGCATTCAGCTGTAAGTAACAGAGAGTGACTGAGCAGGAAGAGAGAGACTTTAAAAGAGTGCACACATCCTGTAACAGACAAACAGACTGTTGAAGGGTCTTGAGGAGGTAGAAAAATACTTTTACACCAAAATGATGTAAGTATGTATGATTTTACGAGTAGAGGTGATGTAAACCTTTCTTTAAATAATACCAATGCACCATATTCCCACAGCGGCCATGATGCCATGACATCATGCTCATGTTGTCGTCGTGTCTTACTCACTCCAGGTTTAAGTCGTGTTAACATTGAAAACATGAGCAAACATTTCAGAGCTTTCCAATCGATGAGAAAGTTCAAAGACAATGGATACTGAAAAGACAAAAACTGGACATATTACAGGATGTTTAATAATCAGGTATACGAAATGAAAGGTGTTTATCAATCTATATATTAACGCTCAACAGAACATGATAAATGTGGGTAGCGTACAGTGTTAACAGCATATGATCGCCATAATGAAATGAACGGTAACATTTATGTAAGCACTGCCAAAGTCATTAGCAAATCAAATTAGAGATGTCCTTGTGCAAAATGTTGTAAAGAAACTAACATTTTATACATTGCGTGGATTAAAGAGTAATATGAAGGGAGATCTGCACAGTGAACGTTATGTTGTTTATTTAAAGGCATCCCAATTGATGAGAAAGTACACAGACAATTGATCCTGACACTACAGGGACATATCGGTCCACATGTGAGCACATAGAGCAAAATGATTTGAGTTTGAGGTTAAACTTGCAGGATCTATTTTCAGCAACATCCCATGAACTGTGGAGCTCTCCCTTCACCCTCCTCTGACATGAAAACTGTTGTTCAGATTTGTGAGGTTGACATTACGTCAACTTGGAGCATAACAATAAGACAGGACAACAACATTTGGGATACCCGCCCTGAAGCGTGACATAAAGTATATCCTCTAAAAATAACTCTGTGAGTCATGACTGTCTACAATGGGTGTAACACCCGAGTCCCACTGTCTGTGATGTTTTCAGAGTTTTCAGAGTCCTATCTTCACTTTGTTTACATCGCCGGGACGGCCGGCTGACTCCTCCTCTCGTGTATAAAAGTTGTTTAATTGAGGGACTAGAGAAAAGAAGAATAACATACTGTACTCACTGCTTAACTGTGTTTCTAGATCACGCTCATTTCAGGTAAATTTACATGCAGTGTGAAGATACCAGCATAATAAAGATTGCTAGCGTTAGCATGCTAACACAACAATGCAGCGCAAGTTGTTTTGGTTTCATGCTGGTGCTCAAGGGCGACATCTACTGGATCAAAAAATCACATATAAAGCCTTTAAGTGAAAATATCGTAACAGAAATGTCATGAATGTAAAGTCTGAAGTGGGCAGAGTCTCTTTTTTTCCCTTGAAAAGTTCTGAGTAATTATTTTAACAGCATTTTTTATCAATATATGTTGTCTGCTAAGTGGTGCAGTGGTTAGCGCTGTTGCCTCACATCAAGGATCCTGGTTCGAATCCCCCAGACAGACACCTATCTGTGTCTGCCTGTGCCTGCGCGGGTTCTCTCCTCCGGGTACTCCGGCCTCCCACAGTCCAAAGACATGCTCCTTAGGTTAATGACTCTACATCGCAGTAAGGTGTGAATGTGAGTGTGTCTGGTTGTCTGTCTCTATAAGTCAGCCCTGTGATTGGCTGGTGACCAGTCCAGGGTGTAACCCCACCCCTCGCCCAATGACAGCTGGGATCGGCTCCAGTCTTGAAGGCCAAATAGAAGATTTAACAAATAGTCAACACAAGCTAATTTCAAAGTTATTATCAAGCATTTACAGAACACGAGAGTCTCACTCACTCCCATGATGTTACATCTGCACACAAAACTTTCACTTGAAATTTGCTGCATTAACAGTTTCAAGGATATTCACACCTGTGTCTCATGAAGACAAAAAGGAGTTTACACATGAGGCTCGCAGATTTAATCACAGTGACTGAGGGGAAGTTCTCTTTGTAACCTTCAGAGACGCCTCAGACCGCATATTGGTTTTTGAAAACTCTCACTGGAAACTTTTTTGACATTTAAATCGGGCGTGGCAGCATAATGCTCGTCAGTGGTACGCACCAGTGTGAGTGTGGATCCAGTTATGGCTAATCTTATTTCTTATCATTGAAGTTTATGGAATTTGGTTCAGGAAGCCTTATACTGCTTGTGTGTTCACAGATTACTTCACAGCTAATTTGCCAACCAAAAAAGCTCCGACGCCAAAGCTCCAGTGGTGACTCAGGGCAAGCCTGTCGACAAATCAGAAGGAGCATCAGAGAGTGACGATTACATCGATAGGGTTGGGAGATCTAAAATTTCATGCACATTAACTGATCCAAAGATAATAGCTTAAAGCCCAAAGATGCAGCATGGGCTTGTAATGCCATTATGTTTGTGCACATAGATAACATGAGCTGAGTGTGACTGATCCTCAGATGTGACCATATTCTGTGAAAACAAAGAGATCAGATTCCCTCCCCACAGCAGAGACCAAGCGATACATCCTGACGCCAAAGCAGCTAACACTGATTGAGGGAGATGGATACACTCCTACAGAGGATTGAATTAGCATGTTACACGACTACATGAAGACTGTTGGGGATATGAGCTGAGAGTCCTTTGCCCTCTAATGGAGTAAGCAGAGGATCAGATGATTGCTGAAGATTTGAAACTTCTGCTTCAGTCATTTCCTGAGTGTTTATGAGTCGCCGCATGTCACACCTACACATTCACACCCATTAGCACAATGATGGAAGTGGTTTCTATGTAGTGAGACCATCTTAAGTAATTTATCCCATTCATACACATTTATACACCGCCGACGGAACAACAGGAGCAATTCAGGGTTAAGTGTCACCTCCTTTCAAAAATAATGTGCCTTGTGCCAGTGTGAGTGACTCATGTGTTGCATACATTAAAAGGCTTTATATGTGATTTTTTGATCCAGCAGATGTCGCCCTTGAGCACCAGCATGAAACCAAAACAACTTGCGCTGCATTGTTGTGTTAGCATGCTAATGCTAGCGATCTTTATTATGGTCGTATCTTCACACTGCATGTAAATTTACCTGAAATGAGCGTGATCTAGAAACACAGTTAAGCAGTGAGTACAGTATGTTATTCTTCTTTTCTCTAGTCCCTCAATTAAACAACTTTTATACGCGAGGGGAGGAGTCAGCCGGCCGTCCTGGCGATGTAAACAAACTGAAGATAAGACTCTGAAAACTCTGAAAACATCACAGACAGTGGGACTCGGGTGTTACACCCATTGTAGACAGTCATGACTCACAGAGTTATTTTCAGAGGATATACTTGATTTCTATTATATTTAAGTGTGAAAAATCCCATATAAAGACTTTAAGTAAGGTAGTATACCTTACTTCTGATTCAGAGAACAGTTTTAAGTTGGGCAACACCTTGGACAAACTCTGATTTGTTGTCACGGTCAAACAGAATGAAATAAAAAATGTCTGCAGTGTGGGTGTCTTACAAAAGATCAGTGACGTGCAGTTTGGAGGACGTGCTCCAGTTAGAGTTTAAGGGGAGGGACTATTGGCAACCAGTACATCAAATCTATACGTTTTAATATTTCCCTCTGACAACATCCTCTACAGTCCACATGTCAGAGAATTTGAATTTGAATTTGAAAATCTAATCAGAAACTAAATGATATTAAAGATTAAAGATATTAAAGATCCACTTGCAGAAATGGACAGTGTGATGATCTAAACTTGGACCTTTTTACAGTTCAAAGACACAGATACATGAACTTCTTTTTATTTCTGCAAATCCTATAAATCTTTTGACCCTGCTGAACATTAGACACCAGACAACTGTTCATCATCGTTTGACTTTCAGGTGTTGTTATTCATTTCTAAACTGGTTACTGAGGCCCCAGACTAAAACAAAAGGAGCATTTGCATATTAATAAAATCGAGTTTTTGCAGTCCCCAAGGTGTGCTTTGACCGAAGGTATTTTTCATCCAGCTTGATTTGTATTCAGAAAGTCACTTCAGCATTAGGTATGAAAGGAGGGCCTTGGCTTGCAGAAAAGGTCACACTGTCAAAACAGCACACACACAAATAGAAGTGGGAGTCTGTTAGTTCAAACCCACTCAAGTTCAAACGTAATTAAGGATTCTGTCCTTTGCTTGTTCCCTCTGACATTTAGTTTCTTCTTTTAAAAGCAGTGAGCAGTAAACACAACAGAAAAGGTGATTACACTTTGGTAACTTCACTTCAATAATTCATCCATGCCTCTTGTTGAGGTCTGCAGCTCTTTCACAAACACTGCATTAGTACACAGCAACAACAAAGACACAACTTATGACTCAGCACATGAAACATTTGAGCAACTTATTTTACAAGGATGTACTCTGTCAGCCGAGTCCCTGACGGACAAAGTTCAAAAAACGACTAATGGGGATCCAATGTAAATAAATAAATAAATAAATAAATAGATAGATAGATAGATAGATAGATAGATAGATAGATAGATAGAAAACACAGGGGCAACAAATGAATGTGCAACATTTCCAAGTGAGGAAAACTTAAAAAGTCCAAGTTTGGTCGAATTCTGCTTTGAAATTCTATAATGTCTCACCTGTGACTGATGCGCTTCACTCTTGTCCACACCCTGTACCTGCAACAGGTTCTTGGCCACGCCCACTGAAGGCAGCCCCGACAGCACCCCAAGATGACACGCCAGGCCGAACTCTGCAAGGTCCAAACAAAGGACAAAAAAACCAAGTCACCACTTTGAAAACATACAATATGTTACAGGGGACACTACAGTGAATTTCAGATGTACATTTAACATCAAGGACATCACGCTGACTGTCTGTAACATATTACCACATTATGGTCGATTGCTGACGCCATCCCAGCTGTACACTGGGTTTCATCCTTTGTTGTTGAGTTTGTTGCTCTAAACATTCTGCACCAATAGCAAAGGTATTGTATGTCTGAGAGTTGTGCAGTCCTTCTCTTTCAGCCGAGGAATGCTTCAAAAATAAACGGTTTGTCTTCAGGCGGGTTTGGAGAGGGTGATTCATGCTTTTATTTCACCTACTTTATACTACTACAACTCGCTTTATGCCTTAGTCAAAAATCTATCACACAACTCTTAAAATGCAGCAGCAAGGATTTAAACATCCAGATCATAACACTCCTGTTTTAGTGCGCCTGAACAGCACCTTTAATAGTTTATTCAAAGATTTTCTTGATTTTCTTTCGATGCACAGAAAAGATTTTCCGAGAGCTATATCACTGACCTTTTAAAAGGTTTGTGATCTGAGTCACAGCTCAGATGCTTAAGCAGAGCCCCTTTATGTAGTTCTGCAGTCTGGGCTCAAGGCAAAAGGTGAATGCACCGTCTCTATAAGGGCATCTGTACTGTGTGTGGAACAAAAGAGAAATATAGGGGACCTCTTGTGCTTCAGATGGAGGTCTATGACAAGGACCTTAGATGTAGAAAATATCTTTCTATGGACTCCTTCACATGGACACTGCAGCACATGAATCACTTAAAGGGAATTATTGAGGTGCAAACATCTTAACAAACTGCCTTATTGTTTTTGTTTCTTTTACTACTGTTGTACAGTTATACTAAAAAAAAAAAAAGTGCTATTCAAATAACGGTGTTGTTATTTCCTGGGTGGGCGGAGCTAGACGTACCTCTGTAGTGAAAGAGACCGTTCCCATCCACGAACACAACCTGTAGGAAGCACAGCAGTAATACATCAGGGATTGATTTATCTGTAGCACAAAACAAAGTAATACATAACTGTTCATCCTTCAAACAAATGTCTTTTTAAAGTCCAGAGAGTTCAAGGCTTGAACTGCTGCTTTTTTGTCCTCACTGAAAGCACTCTTCCACAGCAGATAGTTGAATGCGTCACAGTCGGAACAGTGCAGGTAATGAATGATATCAATCTCTTCAGTGGAGCAGGAATAACCTTATTGTTATTTATTCCATCTGTCCGAGTCCAGAAAATATTTTCAAATGCCTGCTTATCTCTTTTGTCCCCCTGGCCATAAGTCTGTACAACACCTCACGGTTATGGCAGGGGGAAAGCAAACAGTGACTCTTGGACTAAATCTTCCTTTTTCCATTTCCCATCTGCACAGCTGTCCCAAGAGTCAGCCTCTAGTTGGACACTTTAATGATAACCTCAATTATTTAAATCACACCTTTAATGTTTGCACTGACTGTTATTTAATGTCTGTTTTTTTATTTTATTCTTTTTAAACATTGCTAAAAAAAAATTAATTGCATCTAGGGGTATTCTTTACATCTTTTGGGGAGGTTAAGATATATGTATGGGAGGGGGAGGGGGAGGTGTCGGTTTCGTGGTTTAACTTGTAACAAATGTTTCATGTCATGTACGTCTTTGTAACCTGCTACTGGATGCTTTGAATTTCCCTCGGGATCAATAAAGTATCGATCTATCTATCTATCTATCTATCTATCTATCTATCTATCTATAATCTATGACCCACAACACTATAGCACACAAGCTGTCAGGCTGAGAGTGTCTGAGCTTCAGTAGGTAAAGTTAGAAACAGGCAAGATGCTCATACTCTTTCTGCTCCAGCACAGCGATGGAATCTTGATGCCAAAGGTGACTCTGCAGATACATCTCAGTATTAAATCAGAAGTGACCGAGAATAATTCATCCCAAAGGTTGCAGGAAAAGGGGAGCATTGACTGCACCTGTCCAGGGTTAAATGTCAGCGAAAGTGAAAATTCAGTGACTGTATGTGAGTGTGTCTGCATGGTAAAAAAGAGAGACAGAGCTGAAGGAGGGGAGACATGTGGGCTGTGACAAGCAGAAGTGAGTGGGTGAGGATGAATATCCGAAGATTTTTTAGGAAAAATTGTGAGAAGGAAAATTAGCTTGTTTTTTTTTCCCACAGAAGCCAAAATTTAAATCAGCTTTTATTAATGTGCTTGAAGAAATGTGGGGTTAACAGCTTTTGAATAAGTCCAATAAGATCAGTGAGTTATAGATGTTTTTATGTCCAAACTAAGTATCAAATCACTCAACATCAGCTCAAAAAGGAACAACCAAACATTCCTGCCTCTTTGTTTCGTTACATCGTGGATTCATATGATGTCCAAATTTACATGACCGTAGTTTCCCACTAGAAAATGTTCAAATAAGCTGCTAAAAGAAAGAACTTAGAAAGTCTGAGAAAATCCCAACTTGCAGATTTGACATTATATGATGTCGTACTTATTTTCATACTTCTGTAAAAATCTGAAAACATAAGAGACACATTTTGAATATGAGGCTTATTAAAAAAATTTACCTGAGGAAGAAGTTCAGGCTGGTTCCTCTCCAGCCGCTGCAGAGCCTCCAGGAGGAAGGGAGTTTCTCTGAAGGCCAGGAAGCCAGCTATGTACGGGGCGGTGAGAGTCACCATATGACTGTCCTCATACAGAAGCTGGGAAAGGAGAGGGGACAGACACACTGCTTATTATTTATTAATACTCATAGTAGAACTATTTCTGGGAAACAGGATCGCTGGTTGTAAAGCCTCATGAGTCTATCTTCACCTGTCTGTGTTTAAACTGTGCAGCACACTGATCCCCTTCCTGCTCACTCGCTGTGATTCCCCCCTTTATTTATCACAGCTCTGGTTCAGACGCATACAGCTGTGGTTCTGAATGGGACAGTCCAGGTTCAGGTTCTGCTTGCTTTGGACGAATGAGTCTTCCTAATGGCACTGAACCTTTGCAAAATTATAACTAACAACCCCCCATCTGGCACACTGCAAAACATCTGTTACCCCATGTAGATATAAGCACATCAAACAGGTCATTCTGCTTAGGTTACCATGTTGTGTTTATACTCGAGAGAAGTTGTAAAGTCAATGAAATCAGCCGACGGCAGCAATATGCTCTCAGTACTGAAGACCCCATTCTATCATTGTTTCACTAGAGGGACACACAAATGATTCAAAATGATCTGAGTAGTCACACAATTTATGTTGTAACTTTGAATGCTGGATGAGAAAAAAAACACCAAATATCTACTGGGCAATAAAATCATCCTGCTAAAGAAGAAAGTGCCTGTGTTTTTAAAATCTTAAATTGTTGTTTTATTGTTGTGTCACAGCTCCCGCACTTTCTTTTTTTATTGAAAACACTATGTTGTTAATCTATACTGTCACTTCATTGTAACTGTTCTTATGACATGTGCTGCTGACCTCTTGGCCAGGTCACTTGTGTGAAAGAGATCCTGATCAATATGTTCTTTATCTGGTTAAATAAAAAAATATATAAAAATTCAGTTGGCAGGCTAGTTACTGAAGTAGTCAGTCAGCGGAGGCTCGCTGAAGAGCTGAAGGTTCAATCGAACATCAGTACACATGGTTTGAATTGCACTGATAGTATTTAGCTGTCAGATTTGCTTAAACTGTATCTAGTGTATGAAAAGGGAAGCTTTGTTAAGCTGCAGACACCAAGTCATGAGTCCAAATGAAGTGCTGAGTCTTTGATGTAAATTCAACAACTGTTATATTATTAAAAAATATTGTGATTGGAACAACCAAATTCAGCGTAATCAGATTTATTTATTTTTTAGAAGAAAAATTCAGTTCCCCTCGGTCCCTATTTTTCTCTAAAAAGCACAGTGTAGCTTAATGTTAACGTTATCCTGTGAAGAATCACTGATTTCAGACCATTTTTAGTTGAAGGTTTGAGTTATTGAAACATCTGATGCATTTACATTTGAACACTGGGTCAAGTCCATGATGGCTGGAGACCAGGATGTTTGAGTGTGATGAGCTCTAGCTTGAAAGGATTTTATTGAAATGCGTACTGAACGATTGATATTTAGTTTGTATAACCCGGGGAGTGAGCACACAACAGGATGTCAGTATTAGTTTGTATCAAAAGTGTAGGAGGTAAATTAAAGGCATGCAGGGAGCATAATCACATTACTGGACAGCACTTCATTAGCCGTGTTGGGTTCATGTATCAATTACATGCAGCGGAAAATGTCATTAAGTATAAAAGAATAAGTAACAAGAAGGATGTGTAATAAGAAAATGTCATCATGCTTGTGAAAGGTTGTATTAAAGAGGTCATTGACATGTTTAAGAAAACTAAAGCTTAAGGTGAATGACACAAGCCCCTCCCCTCCCCTCCGTCTTTTGTCCTGCGGGCAGACGAGGAGGGGGACCATCTGGCTTGTTATCAGCGAACAGTTCAAAAGCCAGCATCAATGGTGGTATGGAGGTGCATTAGTGCACATGGCACGGGGAACCTGCACATTAATGCTGAATGATAATACAGGTTTAGGAGACGACATCTTAGCAAACCACATTCTGTACATATTCAAACAGCATGGCTCTGTCTTGGGGATAAAGTAGCCTGCCTTCAGCCCTGACGTTTCATTGAAAGTGTTTGCCAAACTGAACCCTTAACTGTTGAGCATCCTATTAAGAGCAAGAATGGGAAAAACATCCCATTCTCTAAATTATTGTTAAAAGAAGAGAAGGTGCAGAATAGTGGTAAGCATGGCCCTGTATAAACTTTTACAGAAATTGTTGCTGTCATCAAATGCAAAATAGGCATTCAATTCTACAAAAAACCATGACATGTTTTGGTTTAAACCTCTGATGTGTTGTCTTTGTGCTATTTCTGATTTAAGATGGGGAATCAATATTTTACCAATTATCACATTATGTTTCGATTCACCTTTTACACATTGTCCCAACTTTCTTTTGTAAACAGGTTTGTTCATTGTTTCTTTACCCTGCATAAACCTGACTTGAACATTTAAAGGGTGAGATTCATTACACAACTGAGAGGGGGCAGAGATGAAGTGAAGTCGAACAAAAAGAATCAATAACATTCAAAAGCTCTATAAGGTCGTTTCGTAGGTTATTTCTTCTTGTACATTTATTACGATCTATTGGGGACAAAGTGATCATCTACATTTCTATATGTCTTTACTGTTCCTGTCTTGTTGTACATACATGTATATAGCTCTTTTTTCTCCAATCGAAGAGTCTCATCCTGCTGTCTTTAAACAGACAGACTTTGCAGTTAAAATGTAGAAAATGACATTTCAGCAGTGTGCAGTTAGACACATCACCTCACTCTGACCCAGCTGCACACATACAAAAACACAACCTACATTAACAATGATGATTTAAATAGAGTCACTCTTCTTCTTATGGTCTAGTTTGTCATGTAGATCAGGGGTGTTTCCAGAGGGGGTTGCATGGGCCCCTTTAAAATCTGATTGGCCACCCCAGGTGCCACCCAAAATCCAAATCTATGATTGGCTATTTGCCTAATCAGAGGTGGGACTCTGGTGGGAAAGTTGTTAACAGACTGCTGATAGTTTTCTTTATGAGTTAATATTTGTTAATGCATTCACTTGTAAATAAATACTTTGCTTTTTCCATGAAAATGTCCAAGGAAAAACTTGCAATAGACTAACATACTAATACATTTATTTTTGCAAGCTAGACAAAGGTCTGCATATCATTTTATGCGTAAGTAGTTCAAATCGTGACTTTTCACACACATATTTGTTTTTGAATCCCAAAGGAATCAAACTAAGAACATTTATGTGTTGACAAATTGTCTTACTTATCAGTACAGATCATAAGTGGGGATAGAAGGCTAAAGAAATGACCCTCATTTGTGTGGGGTTGCCACAAACTTTGTGCCACCCCCTACATAAGTCAAAAAAGTCTGGACACGCCCCTGATGTAGAGGCATCAGTAATCATTTCAGTCTGTTTCATATCGAGTGAAAAACTTCTCACTGGAGCTTTAAAGATGCTGAAATCTAAATCCTTCTATTAACAATGGGATCAAAATGAAAGTCTGAAAAGGAGTCTACAGAGGGACAACCAACTCTGCAGCTCTCCTCGGCTGTTTTTGTTTACAGCCATAACTTAAATGATTTGTTTAGGTGTCACTGATCTCTGCTTAGTCATAATAGGCTGGAAGTGAAGGGCATTTTAAACCACTAAAACCACTTCAGTGGCTAACAAATCCAGCAGACAGCCTTTGTGTGAGTCATTTGCTGAAGTCTGTTCACAGACAGCCAGCTTTCAGCAGCAATAAAAACAGTATACTTAAAGATATTACATGTCAACCTTGCTTTCAACAAACCAAATAAAGTAAATAAGGACAAATCCAAAACAGTGATTGCATTTTACAACAGGATATATTGTCGCGTTATTATGGGTGTTTATCTGATCTTTCTTGTTTCTGATAAAAGCATGTTTGTTTGTTCACACAAAAAGAACTCTTGTTATATAAGTTGTTATGTACTGCTCAACCACCAGAGGGCGACAAAGCGTAGGGATTTCTTTGTCTCTGTGTAACTACTGGGTGTTGAGAAGGAAGAGCTCACCTCCAGGTCAGGGTAGCTGAGCACCACCAGCTGAGCACAGGCATTGACATCGTCCCCTTTGATGAAGGAGAGGTCGACTCCTCCGACGCGCTCCAGTCCAGAGAAGTCTGGACTCCTCTGCCAGTCCTCAGTATCCTCCTCCACCACCTGCTGCCTGAGACGAGCCTGCTCACTGCACAGAGAACAATCACTGGAACAAAGGACTGACACCTAAACACAAACATTAAATTCTGAAACAACTTCTGCAACTGCATTAACCTCTATGGTCTTTTACATGTTTAAAAAATGGACTAAATCTTTTTCTGTTTAATGATTTACAACTATTGCATAGGTTTGATTGTATTCTTAAGTTTACACTCTAAATGAACACATATTGCTCAAGTGAAAATCAATGAATCTGACCAGGATACTTACAGTGGTGGTCCGACAAGGCCTAATGTCAAACTACAACACTGGGTGTGTTCTCAAAAATATTCCACATATTATAAGGCAATTCATTGTATGACTGCAACGGTTTGTGTCTTCATCATGCATTTGATGACTTTTAAAGACAGAAATATGAGTCTTTGTTTTGTTCAATCAACAACTTTAAACATTGGAGTTGAAGCAGAGAGAATGTTTTATGTTTTTGTATAAATAATAGTTTAAGTTTTGGCAGGTTTCCTCAGTCTGACCTGTATTGATTGACACAGACAAATCGTTATATTTTGTATTGAGACCAGATATTTTTGCACCTCAGTTTGAATGTGGTATTGAAGAGAACATTTTTTACTTTTTTGTCTGGAATGACACGATCTGTGAACTGAATGAAATCCTGCTGAATCATGATTTCCTTACTGGCCTTGTCATAACTAACTAACTCATAAATCATGAGCTGAAGGCAGATAGTTTCAACAACACAGATACAGAGATCGACCTTAAAGTGGTCATATCTTATGAATACATGACGCAGGAGAAAGGGGGTTATTACGTAGCGCTGTAGGCCTTCTTTCTTTTATTACCAATCCTGTCATAGCAAGCGATTGATAACAAGTAACACCGCTGCAGCCTACTTGTACAACTACCTATGTACAACATAGGTATCAAAGTGGTGGATTGTTTAAAGTATATTCACATGAATGTGTGGCTCTGACCTCTCCCACTGCTTCACCAGCTCTTCTGCAGGAGCAGTGCACATTTGTAAAGGCTCGTTGAACTTCTTTTAATACGAGAAATACCCTGCGGTCCCAGGAACACAGAGCGTATGCCATGGATGAATAAACGTGTTTTGCTTCCGTGTTCTGACGTCACTGTAAGGGCGGAGTTTGTGGCGTTCTGGCGTGCGTATGAGTTTTATACGCAGGTAAATTCTGCCATCTAGTGGCTCAAAGTGTAAAACAAAGAAAAATGTATTTTTTTTAAAGTAACAATTATTCAAACTATTATTTTTGTTTCACTATTTACATAAATGTTGTAATTATATTTATTTGTCACATTGTTTTGTACATCTTCACATAATATAATATGGTATGTTATAGTACATGGTATTAAATCAATATATTATATAGAAAGATTATTTATATTTTTCATATAATTTGTGTATTTGATGTGTGTAAAGTCTAACATTCATTTATATTTTCAGTAGTTGTATATCATATTTTTATGTTATGTTTTTATTTGGAATTATATTGCGAGGTGCATGTCTTACAACTTTGTAATTAATACTCTGGCAAAATGGTTTCTTACACCTTTATACAGATACATGTGTCTTTGAATTGAAACTGATTTAATATTGCCTCATATCAGTAGAATAACAGAATGTCTGACCAAATGAATGTCCATATTACATAAGTTCCTTGTGTGATCTCACAATGTTTTTAGATGGGTTTTTTTTCTTTTGATTTACATTCTAGAAAATGATTGTGACGGATATGAATCGGAAGAACTGATAAATACAGAGAGGAAAAGACAAGTTAATTTTGAAGAGAAATTTTAGCTCAGTGGGGCAGATTAGGTTTTCATAATATGATTTTAGAAATTGAGGCATGCAGAAAACAAAACGTTTTATGGCATAATTTAGCAATTCATTAAAAATGTATGATTGTAAATGGACTTGAGCTTGTACATGTATAGTGCTTTTCTATTCTTCTGACTACTCAAAGCGCTTTTACACCGCAGTTCACACCTACACATTCACACCCTGATGGCAGAGGTTACCATGAGACCATCAGAATACCTAATTCCAGTCATAAACACTCATACGCCGCCGACAAAGCAGCGGGAGCAGTTCGGGGTTAAGTGTCAGCGGACATGTTGCTGCACGGACTCGACGGACTCTACCAACTGAGCCACAGCCGCTAATTGTAAGTCTACACAGTCATACTAATTTCTGCTGTCTCAATTTGAGAATATGTGGACCATGAAAATCTTTGAATTTGTTTTCCAAGTTTGGTACAAGATGCACTTTGACTTAGTACCAAGTTAAAGCAATATTCATCACAGGCAAAACTTTCAAACACATAAAATGACTGTGAGACACGTTTGTATTTTCTCATAATTCAAGTTTAATGTTTTCAAAAAAAAATGTAAAGGCGCAATATTCTTATTAGTCCAAACATGACATTGTTACACAATTCATCACATCAAGGTAAAGTGAAGATATGCAATGATTTCTGAAAAAGGAGAAAATGACAAATATGTTGAACACTCAAGACAAATAGTTATAGCCCTCATTTGTCAATGAGATCTTGATGAAAATGGACACAACTGTAAGAGCTAAAGTCAGAGAGGCAGGAGAGACAGTAGAATAAGGGAGGTGTGTGGTGTTTGTATCACTTAATGTAAGCCTACCAAACAATATCAATGAAACTTCTTTTCTCCTATGGCTTCAATCAAGTCCCACTCTGCTTCCTATGATATACGCAGTGAAAACATGTTTCAAAGCAAAACAGCAAACTGGAGTGTACAAATGACAAAGAGGAGAGAGAGAGAGACAGAGATACGAGTGAAGTATAGAGTAGTTCAGTCTGGAACTGATATTTGTTTCAGTTGTTATCATCATCAGTCAAACTATTGAAAAATAGAAACTAAGTCTACTACTAAGCAGGTGAAGTTAAGTTAGTCGTGCTGTTTCTACACATGCTTTAGAAGAAGAGAGCGTAGAGAAGCACACCTGCTGATCAGGGCAAAGGGAGTGTTTACACCATTTATTTATTTTTTACAGGCTGATCTTTAATCCCACTGTTTCCAACATTCACCCTTTTACACCAACATACACACTTCATAGCCCACAATATTTAGAGGTCCCTTTTCCTCAGTAAAGCATTTCATATTATTGCAGTTAATGACATCGTTACCACAAGTTGACCTTTGACCTTTCATTAATATGTATCAAAAACAATCGGCAGGGACAGTATTTTCAGAAGCATGATTCAAGAGAAAAACCTCTCCTTCTCCGTTCTTTTTGTATTGTCAGCTCCACTCCATAACCACGGTAACAGCATCAGCAATGGCTGAGATTTCTTCTCCTTTACAGGGAGTGAGATCTTAGTTAAGTCATCAACTGAATAAACCGATTCAGGAAAAAGCATGTTTGTGTTGCAAATAGAACTGTTCACTCAGCTTACAATTGCTCATCTATCACAGTGATGACCCTGAATAAAGCAGGAACTCGTCTAAGTGATGCTTACAAAGGCTAAAATGGTATTTATTGACACATGACTCTTAAAATGGCTAAATCTTAAACTTTATATCAATGATCTGTGAACCCAATCACCAAATGAGCATGCAGTAACACCACACTGCAGCCTCCTGTCAAGTACTCATCTCCAAAACAAAAAGGAAAATAAAAATCAGTAACAAACACCAACCAACACTAGGACATGTACAGTATCAATATGTGGTCTACTGGTGCAACTTTAAATGATAAGCTGAAGGTAACATTCATCTCTAACGCACACAACTCTAATTCACACTGGAAAAAAAAAAGAGTAGAGAATGATAGCAGTCCTTCTCAATAACATCCCAAACCTTCAAATGTAACGAGTTTCAATGGTTGGGGAGCACTAGCCAATCAGTAGCACATTCACAAATCAGTGACAAGGCATGTCCCTCTCGACTTGATTTTGAGTCGAGTTCCTTTAATAATGCAGACGCTGCACAGAGAGCTGGCTAACTGTGGTCATTCCGAGGAAAATAAACATGTCCAGGAGAAAAGCTGGCTAGTTTTTTGTTTTTTTTGTTCCTCTCCTGACAGAATGAAAACCTAGACAAAAAAGTGATCAAGTTGTTGCCACAAAGTTTAGCAGTTTACTGGCTCAGTTTGCCTTTCTGTCTGTACACATCTTTAAAGTTCATCTGCAATCAGCACCCATGATCCTCCACACACATGTTTCATGATAAATAGAAATATTTCACACATTGAAAAAAAATCAAACTCATGTTATTGCTTCAGGCAGATTGCTTCACTAAGAGTCAGACCCAAGTCAAATGTTCAGATGATTTCATGATATGAAAAAAAGCCCTCGTGAGATGTATGAAAGGGGGTTTGCCAAGTGAGCAACAAAAAGAAAGTCATACAACTCTCTCAGCTGCAGAAAAACAACTGATTATGAATGTTATTTTTACAGCATCTGCAGTGCCATTATTTCGTAAACTCCACCTGCTCCCTAACTCCATGAAGAAGTAAATAGATGCAGGTGTTATTCTACATTGTTTAAGAGTTCACCCACCCACACACACTTTAAACAAGTCACCAGACTGAACAAACCCCTCTGGTATGTTTGTATGTAACAGCACGTCCAGTTTTCATCCATGGACAAGGTATAAGTTGTCTCAGTACTGTAAAAGCAGGTGTACATGTTAATGCATATTCGTAACAGCGCCTCCAGTGTCTTTATCTGGTCCTGTAGGTTCTAGGGTGAGGATATTGCTTCTTTCTGCTTCCAGTGCCACAGAAGCACAGCAAATTCACCTCCTGACCGTTAACTTTTCCACCCTGTACAGGACATGACGTAAGCAAACATTCTACTAAATTCAAAATGCTGCCCGGCAGAGATGCCAGGCACAAAAAATATATGACCTTTGTGCAAAAAATCAGCCCTTAAAACTGTACACACAGTCTCATTTGTTTTTTTTTTGCCTCAGATTTATTCTTTGTCTTCTGTTTGTGCAAGCATGCTTCAGTTCCATAAAGACTGTCTGTGCAAAAAGGAACAGAGTCCAAAGACGATGATGAGGAAGGGAAGAAGGAGAGTTGGCTTCGGTGTTGATTTTAAGGGCTGACAGGGGGTAGGGGGTTTGGGAGGGGGATGTAGAGACTGAAGTTCTCAACTTCCTGTTTCTACCTGGAGATCATAGAGCTGGACTGCGATTGGCTGGAGGATGTGGTGGCAGCGCTGAGCTGAGAAAAGCCGCTGTGGCTGGATTCCAGGCTGGTCATGGAACCCCTGAGGTCAGAGACAGAGATCCACAGAACATGTCAGCACTCACAAATTCAACATTCAGCACTTCATTTTAAATGATTCACTATCCTAAAACAGAGCAACCGCAGTCTGCCAGTGACTAACTGAATGCATTCTGCGTGCACTACTCGTGCTTAGGATGCAGAACCATGCAGCCAGATCAGAGCTACAGCTGGGAGGTTGATTCTCTCTGTGTGGCACACAATGCTACCCGCCCTGCCACAGACTGCAAAAACCAACAATGCTTTAGGTAACAAAATGATTCACAGAATTATAAATTATTTTCTGGTTTTAGTTAGGGGAAAGATTTCTTGCTAGTTCAGGGTGTTTTGTTGAAGGCAGAGCACATCCTCTGTCTCACATGCAAAACCAAAAAAAAGAGTCTTTGCTTGTTTAAAGGTTTGGCAGCCTGTGGCAAAGCATGAAGTACTTTCTATTAGGTTTGATCTTTTTTACATGGATTTGAAACAAGAGTCTTGATGTGTTCTAATGATTCAAGTACTCCCTGAATTGCATGTCTGCATTCAAATATTAGTCTTTTTATAATGAAACAATTTTGAGCTTTCAAGAATGCATTAAGTGGGAAATCATTTCTAAATGTTATTCAACAGAACAGTTTTTCTTCAAACAGTGTGATTGGACTAATCAACTTCAAACAGCTGTTTAATGATGTTAAACATGTTACAAAGTAGACTTTTATTTTGGTACCTGGTTCTACAAAGGTAGGCTCTACTAAGAGCCCTGACATGTAAAAAACTTTAAACCACAGAAAAAAGAACAATATATATATTCTGGCAATCTATGTGTGTGCACCGATCATAATAATTTAATATCCCTAAACTTTTTCATTTTCGGGCATTTCAGGAATCAAATGGACTGGTTTGTAAAACTTGTATTTAGAGCTGCAGCTCAGAACTATCCTATTTTACTTTTTTTTTTTGGTTGAATGGTAAATTAATTAGTCTACTACATTTGAAAATGTATTGCACTAATACCATCTCTCTCTCTCTCCCTCTCTCTCTCATGATTGCTAGGTATGTGTTTATATATTGCTGAGCAGGTGCATTTTACAAGTGGCAAAAAGGGGTTTCCTCAGTTCCATCTTAGTTCAGTTAAATGTTTGGAAACATCAAGATTTCAATCATATGTCAACCACTCGCATTAATGATCATAAATACTGCTAGAATGAGTTAAAACTGATGACCTCAAATCTGTTGGAATGACTCGGTATACAGTATGCAGAGGCAAAGTGAGATTCAGTTAGTTGGTAATACAAATGAATGACAGGGAAAAAAAACCACAAATGCCAGACAAAATCTCTTAGTATGTTACACCTGTTGGTGTATGTTGTGCATGTGCTCCCCCTGACAAACAGTGACTTAGTGCTGACCCATTGACCTATTCTAAGATTTCTAATGTTGTTAATCATGCAAGCAGGGTGACTGAAGCCAGCAAGTGTACAGTTAGACAGCAGGCTCAGTGCAATCATTCTTTCCTCATGGTGAGCAGAACAACATCTTCCTGTTAGCCAACTCTAAGCCATAAGCAAGAACAGATGCAGAAACATCTCTTCCCTGCACTAGAAGCATGACTGCCATAGAGGATGCTGTTGCAGAAAATGAAAATGAGCTAGTGCTAACAAAAAGGGGCAAAAACTGAGCCACTTACAAACTCTGCACATCATAGCAAGCCGTTCTTCACAGGAAGAAGACAGAGCAGGAGGAGGAGATCGTGAGCAATAGAACAGGAGCCGATTGGACAGAAAAGCTGAATTACAGAGGTCTTTAAAGGAGGGTGGCATCCTTATTAGAATATCTCTAAACAACTAAACAACTCATGATGCACTCAAGGCTTTAAATAAGGTAATTTAGCGACATAACAGACATAAATTATCTAAATACCGAGTGTCATACATGGTGCTACGAGGCTAAAGGCTAAAGAGTGGCCAAACTGAGAGAAAGCAGGAGTGAAAAATGAGCAGTCATGTAGGAGTAATGTTTCAAATTAAATCTGTCCAAACATCATGGTAACATGACATCAAAACAGCAAAATATGAACACATACAAAAGGTCATATGTAAAATCAATACAATGTACGTTTTCTTTTTATGTCCTTGATGAGTTACTGACCTGAAGTCCTCAGAGCCCAACACCTCGGTGTAGTACATGACTTTGCACTTGTGCGAGGAGACCTGCAGGGTGGCCAGCACGTCGTCCACTCGCGGCAGGTTGGTGGCTGAGCAGGCTGGCATGTTGTGGAATTTCCACTGAAGAATGTAGAAACCTGGCCACCTGGTGATGTGGGAGCCCTGAGGAGAGGACGGATTCACCAGACCAACATCAATTATTCAACCAATAAATCATATCAATCATAACATTGCCCCTTCCAGCATATTTCAACAGTGACATATAATAGGCATTCCTGTCTCATAATCAAAAGGAATTTCTTAACTGTGAATTCAAGGTCAAGAACCTCACCTGCACGCTCTCGCCCTCCTTGCAGGTGAGCGGAGACTCCACCATGCTGTAATCCTGTCCCAGTGTCCAGGACTTGTCGATGAGCTGCACGTTGTTGCCTCCCGGGGATGTGATGCCGTGGGTTCCCGTGGGGTCTTTGCGTGGAAGCTGAGGAGCCCGCTTAGAGTGGTAGATGTTGAAAACCACATCGCCTTTGCACATGTCAAAGTCCCAGGTGATGACTGAGGAGGCATCAATGATCTCAATCAGAAGCTGGTTGTGGAGGAGAAAAGGAAGTAGAGATGTGAGAAGATGTGAAGTTACACTGGACTCAAAAGTACTGACAAACGTTTCATCATCATTTTAAAGTCTTTATCTTTACACTTGGGACAACTTCTAACATTACTCAATACTTCAGCGACGACCGTGAGAGAAAAACCTGACCATCTGTTTTAGAGCTCATTAAAATGAAATCAAAACCATTCCAGAGGGGCGATTATGCATAATGATGATGCATCTCCCTGTGGTAGAAATGATGCAACGGGATTAACTGCATGTCACTGCGCACAGATTCTGCTCATAGCCATGACACATTTGTTCCGCATCAGAATTCAAAAAGGAGCACACAGAGGTGATCTACTACATGCCTCCACTAGATGGCAGAACATGAAATAAAACTTTCCCTCCCGGACAACATGCCCTCTGTTGTAGGGCCCTAGATATTCATTTAAAACACCACAGGCGATGCAGCTTTTCTCCTCACTTTAGGGCTCTAAATCAAGTCTCACCTCATGCGGAGCTCCCTTGAAGACGCTTGCACTCTGATAGATTGTCTCAGTCCACAGGCGAACATCTTCATTCTCAAGCTCCTCGGCTGTGCGATACATCGATTTAGGAACCAGGCCTCCTTCTGGTACCTCACACTGCATAAAGAAATCATGCAACAATCACAATCATGAAACAAACGAGCATGTATAGAATGACGACAGTAGAGGAAAACCTTCAAGTGTATTCATAACCTCAAGAGATTATATAAGAGTTTAAGTCTTCATTAGACACTTACCATGCACTCTCCTCCGAGGAAGTCAGGGATGATCTCCTTGTCTATATAATCCACCAGCCCTCCAGGGCCCTGATAGTCGTTGCCTGCATAGATGAGGAACTTCTTGCGTGTGTTTTCATCAATGAACGGACTCACCTAGAGGCAGACATTGATATGGTCATGGTTACACAAATTCATTGTATCTTAACTCTGCAGCAGCAAAACTGTGTGTACGTATGTGTGTGTGTGTGTGTCTGCTGTTATGTTGAAAAAACAAAGCAGAATGTGTGTTTTATGTTCAATTAAATCAAGTTAAAAGTATGTAAAGCTTTTATTTGTCAACAGTGACAGTAGTTGGTAGAATCAGGGAAAGCTCAGGTTCAAGTAAAAAAGTAGCTCCACAGGCATCAAACAATTAAAAGGATCTTCTTGCTGTCTGTTTACTTAGCACCTGACACCCTGAGGTGAGGCAGAAAGGGCTAAATATTAAGGTGTTGTATTCTCTGTAATGTAGCGTAGTGTTAATTAATGTTATTGATAACATTTTCAGCATTGCTACTCAAGCCAATTTTTCTGATGCCCCTGAAAAAATGTAAATATCAATAATAAAATGTATGACAACACAATGAAAAGAAGAGTGAAGTAGGAAATCTTTAGACATGAGCAGCCCTATTTTTAACTTTATAGTACTGTTATGGTGTGCTTCGATACGTTATTGTCTCAAATACTAAAGAGTGGACGGACCAAAGACTTAAAATAGCTTTGACACTATGGCAGATTGTCCTAGCTGCAAGCGCTCACCAGAGTCCATAGGACAGGAAACACTCTGGGAGCTCTCAGGATGAGAAGCCGTCCCAGAGTCTCTGGGTAGTTGGCTTCCACAACCTCGATGATCCTCAGCAGCGCTTTGACTCCAGGTCGCCACAGGTGACGCATGTTCAGCCCCTCCAGATCCACCAGACACGTCCAACAGCTACAGAAGAGGCAGAGCGAGGATTAGAGCGTTGATAAAACGCACGCCAGAAACGCATTGCTCACACACAATTGCTCAACAGCCTCTCTGCAACCACTTAGCACCTGTCACCCTGAAGTGAGGCTTAAGTTGTGAAGGCATTTCTTGCTAATTCTGGAGCATCCCTCCTCCCTCGCTGCCTCCTTCTACTTCCTCCCTTTTCCCTCTATCTGCCCTGGCACAAGAGCTATGACGTCACGGCCATTCATAGTTCACATGCCTTCCTGCATGGTTCTTATCCAAGAAAGCTCCTCCAGTTTGATGGCTGACAGATGACAAATACCATCTCTCTCTCTCTACGTACCAATGAGTGCACATAGAGACAAGCCTAGAGGATTTTTTCCTTTGGAATCCCACATGCTAGCTTTAACAATCACAAAATGAAACTTGTTTGTTAAAACAATTGTTCAGCTCTCGCATTTGTTTTACCACATTTAAATGTCACGCTACCAATTTGCTGATAAAAGCATTAATGTGTGCTGCAAGAGAGTTAACATTATGAGATTTTTTAATGAACATTTCCCGATTAAAAGGAAGAATGTGCGACATTTCACTCATAAATACAGCAGAATTCAAGTATATCCTCTCTGAGTCATGACTGTCTAAAACAAGTGAGAAGCGCGAGTCTCGCCAGCTGTATTGTTATCAGAGCCGTGTTTACATCATGTTTACATGAACGGGACGGCCTCGTGTATAAAGCTGTTTTAGTTAAGGACTAGAGAAACGAATAATAACATAGCCTACTCACTGCTTATTTGTATGTCATGCAAGTGTCTTTAGATCACGGTCATTTCCGTGTCAATTCATATATATTCATATGAAGCTATGAGCTAACCAAAGCGTGCTAACATTAGCGTGCTAACAAAACAATGCAGGCCATAGGAAAGTGCAGCTCAAGCAAAGAACAATTTTGTCCGCCACTTGTGCTAAACTCCTTCGTGTGAAGTAGTTGGCGGTGGGCCGCTGGCTGATGAGCCAAATTGATGTTGATTATTTCTGCTGATCCACTTAATCTGCAATAGTTCATTTTTCAGCTCTAAAGTGATTAGTACAGAAGGTATACCTGATAGGTCGGCCAAACACCTTGGTGTTCTCTTCACAACGTCTCAGACCCTCCTCGTTGATAGACAGCACCTAAAATGACACAACATGAATTCATTGGTCCAAAGCGATCTTGCATTTGAAGCATTTGGCTCTTGCACTAGAGCGGCTTACTTTAAGGGCAACGTTATACACAAGCTGGCTATTTATAAATGTACTGAACTGTATACTTCCTGGTCTTAATGCACTTGTCAGGGCATGCCAGTATAAATAAATTCACAAGACTGTAATCCAACCAACTGCTTGACCTGTAAACATATCACCCTCTCAACATGTAAAGCCTGAAGTGGGCTTCAACTCGTGTTACCCACATGTCTGAGCAGAGACTCCTCTCCGAGAGCCCGGACCAGTCCTTTGGTGTCCATCTGACCCAACCTCAGGATGTACAAAGGACGACCATCTGGGGAAGGAAAACACATATTTACACAATTTATCTCTATTTACATACAATAAGGCTTCATGTTACATGCACAGATTAGAATAGTTTGTCTTTTTATCCGTGGTGGAAGAGTGAAGTGATTGTGAAACCAGACGATTGCTTTTGTGTTTTGTCACCTTTAAACCCATACAAATACTTATTGAAAAATTCATATGGTGACAAACCTCTTCAGTGACATGGGAACATAAAAAGTCATTTATATTTGATTGATCATGTCAACAGTCATTATGCTCTCGACAAGGAACGAAGAATGTCACTATGTGTGTGAGAGTGTGTGTGTCTGTTTCAGTTGGGTAACTAAGTAGTGCTGACTAATTAGTTTCATATATTTTTCAATGGCATGGCTGAAGACTCTGGGTCCTGAATGACACGTGTGTAACTTGAGTCTGTAAGAAACTGGAGAGCTGAAATCTTCCACAACTTATGGAGGAGGTCAAGCCAGCTAAAAAAAAAAAAAAACAGCCAACACAGAACATAAATGTGTGCTTGGGTGT